CTGTTGTTTTGTTAGCAGCTTGTTTCATCCTGTCCCGGTGCGACAGGAAATGTGGCAACGGTTTATGGTTAATAGCTTCTGTTTTTCTTCCTTCAGCCAGAATTGCATATTCTGCACCAGAAACTTTGCAAAACCGGAGGTCCGGGTGGGTTTGTGAAGAGCAAGAAGTAGCTGATCTAATCGTACATGACGGAAGGAGCAGCTCTTCTCCCCCCAGGCCGTGGCCACCCTTCCCTGGGCCATGGTTTGGGTCCTGCTGGGCTGGTTCGGGTCCTGCTGGTGGGCAGGTTTTGGTCTGTAAAAGAGAAAAGCAGAATCTCTGACCGTGGGATGTGCAGGGAGCTGGGGATGGTGCGGTGAGGCTACTGGGGAGCTTGTGGCATAGGTCTGCCTGAGCATCGCTGCCAGGAACAGCAAGAAGAGGTGTGGGGTGAGCCCTTGGAGCCCCAGTGGTCCCGCAGGGCTCCCCCAGCCCTAGATAGCTGCCAGAGCTGGGGTGGTGCTGCCCTGGGTCCCATGGGACGGATGGTTTGGGTGTGGAGAGTGTCCCTTGGGTTGAATTGTCCTGTGTGCTGTGCTCCTCAGCCCCACGGTGGGATTGCTGCCTAGAAAGAGGTGATTAAAACTTGCTTTGCCTTGAGGCTGAGGGTGCAGGAGGAAGGTGAGCTGGTGGATGCTGGGGCAGAGGATGGCTCCTGGGCTGGAAATGAAGAGCTTTTTGCAGTTCTGGCAGTGTTTGGTTGCAGTATTGGTCCAGCTGACTCTCCTAACACGTTGCAGCTTTCCTTTAACATCGAAGTGGTTTTAAGAACTGGCCGAGCTGCATCTCAAGCTCCCTGAGACGTTCACGCTGTGGAAGTGGAAACTTCTGGCTTGGTTTTTGCGCCGCAGCTGACGTGTAGGGGACAAGGGGTTTGGGAGTCCCACGCTGCTTTATGCCACACGCACAACCTGATGCTTCAGAGACACAGCTTCAAACCCACGGCCGGGTCGAAGCTGCCGAAAGAGCCAGGAGCCCTCTGCGAGGTCACTGGTTTTATTTTCCAGGGCAGGTCGGTTTCTCTCCGCACACCTTAAGTTGTGCTGCCGTGGAAACAGTTAAACCATCTGTCACTGACACTGGGAGCTTAATAACAGCAAATTAATTCCACACCAGGTGCGAGATGACTTACAAAATAACCCGAAGAGAACATAATAAGGCCGTTACAACCTGTGTTTGTCAAATTGTCATAATGCAGGGTTTCTTTTTCAATGACAATTGCACGTGAAAGAGGAGAGAACAACCTGTTACCTGTAGCTGTGGCCACAAGATCATGTAAATTGTTAGTGTTTTTTTTTCCCCCCAATTTCCCTTCCTGGGTGGGGAAGGGTCGTCAGGGATAGAACAGTTGTCTAAACAACAATAAACTGTTGTGAGTTCTTCAAACCATAACATTGGGTTAGACAAAACAAATAGACGTGGTAAATAAATAAATCACGGGCAGCTTTCTTTCCTAATATGTTTTCCCAGACCAAGGTCTGAGCATCAGGAAGCTGCAGGATGGGCAGAGGAAGGCAGTGATTTGGGAAAACCTTTGTTCAGGTGGGAGCTGAGTGGCCTCCTGCCTTCCCTGGTGCTGCCAGGGTGGGGGCAGCAGGTGAGGGGGGCAAACTGCCTCCCCTGCCAGGGCAGCGTGTCCCAGGCACTGTCCCATTCTGGCTCCTGGGAGTGGGATTGGGTCTCTGCAGCCAAGCTTTTGGGTGCCCTGGCAGGGTCTGTCCCATTCTGGCTCCTGGGAGTGGGATTTTGGGTCTCTGCAGCCGGGCAGCTTTGGGTGTCCTGGCAGGGATGGCTGCAGGGGTTCGTTGGTGGAGTTGTGTGGGGACACGGGGTGAGACTGGTGACGTGGTGCCACCAACACCATGTTCCTGAGTCAGTCTTCCTGCTCCTCCTGCTGCCAGTGATTTAGGTTCCCTGGAGCACAGAGCAATTAGCATCTGCCCCGAGCCTTCCGTGACTCCCTGGGGACCGGCACCGTTCCAGGCTGCTGCCCTCCTGGGTGCACCGTGCATCCTCCATGGAAACCAGGCAGCATCAGCGCTGGGAGCTGCTCAGAGAGCTCTTAATTGCTGGCACGTGCGTGTTTTCTGCAGCTGGAAGCATCACAAGAGGGGAAGGACTTGTCCTGCTGGAGAGGAGCAGGTTGCAGTGACAGGGACAGACTGAGCTGCTCTGTCTCTGCCGTGCGTGTCTGGGTGGGTGCTGCTCTGTGCCAGGAATGAAGGATGGCACATGGGTCTCACCACCCCAGCTCTGCCCCACAGCCTGGGGTCCCTTTGGGTGCAGGAGGGGATGGTTCCAGGGGTCTCCCTGGCTGGAGACCTCTCTCTTCCCTGGGGACAGGCGCAGATGCGCTGCCAGGTGCAGGAGGGGACGGTTCCAGGGGTCTCCCTGGCTGGAGACCTCTCTCTTCCCTGGGGACAGGCACAGATGCGCTGCCGCCCCCCCCCAGCGCCGTCACATGGGGGACGTGAGGAAGTGGAGGGTTTCTGAGAGCTCTTCTTCCGTTAACTTAAAGGGAAGTTTGTTGTTTTTTTTCATTTTTTCTTTTCCTCAATGCTACTTTAGAACATCTCTACCCTTGGCATTATTTTTAAAGACTCTCACGCCAGCCCAGCACCTGTGTGTGGCCGTGTAAGAGCTATTGCGGTGAATAGACTGCAGTGAAGCATGTGCCTGAGGATTTTGATAAATTAGGGAGTTGAAATTGCCATTATGATAAGTGGATGTCTATGTGCCATTGTTGAATATCTCAGGAAAGCTTTGCTTTTATTTTTTTAAGGGTCTGAACAAGGAGGAGACTGTAATGCAGTGTCAGTGTTCCTCCATTGGGCTCCAAGACCTGCATTTCAGGAGGTCTCACACTGTTTGCCTGTCTCAAGCAGAAATTGTGAACTCTCTTTCTTGGGAATATCGTGAATGAATGTGGGGCTCTCAAATCCCAGGGCTCTAGCTGTCTTGCCAGATTGCAACCAGGATTTCACTTTGTCCTGTGCTTGATTCTCCTCCTAAAAGAAATATCATGAGTAGCCTGGGGTGATATTGGCTTATTTACAGCTTGCTGCATCCTGCTCTCATGTACTGCCTGGCTGCCTGGGAAGAGACAAGCTTTGCTCCCAAAATTGCTTTTTTTTCCCCCCTTTTTTTTCCTTCACAGAGGTTACAGCTTGCTTTCTGTACCGGCCTTGATAGCACATCCCTTCACGCTTTCTGCTCTCTGCTAATGCTGCCTTCTGAGCAAGCCCACACAAAATCTGGGAGCGCTGGAGAAATGTATTCCCAGCCTGTCTCCGGGGAAGGGGGGGAGTTATGGAAAGGCAGCAGAGCGCTGCGCTGGGAGATCCGGCCCACTGAGCATCGTCCAAGGCACACGCAGGCTCATTTGCAGCGGGTCCAGATTTTGGGATGCTGAAGGCTGTGCTGTAGAGGAGACCTGCTCTCCTGGCTGGATGGAAAGCCCTTCTGCTTTGGGTCACCCCGGGCCAAAGTGGTGTCAAACCTTGATGCACAAGATGAGCCTCGTGTAGGGAGTTTCCAGTGGTCTTGTGGCAATAAAGTCATTGAGGCTTCTTGCATGCTGCTGTTGGACCTGCCTTCCAGCAGGTTTTGGGAAGAGCTCACTGGTTCTTGTGTTCCTGCAGTGTCTGGGCTGTGCCATCATGCCGAGTGTGATGGTGGAGGGTCGCATCCTGCTCTTGGGTTTCCAGGGTGTCCGTGGCCTTCCCAGCCGGTGCCGCGGTACTGGGGCAGATGGGAGGTGGGAGCGGGGCTTGGGCTCTCACTTGAGGCTGCTACAAACCTTCTCTGCAAAAACCATCTGCAGCTCTGTGTTCCCGATGTCTCTTTGGTCTCCCTCCTGACTCCCCTGACACTGTTCTTGCTCTCACCTTGCTTTTTCCCTTCCAGATGGCCTGTAATTGGCACTGTGGTCCTGCTTCCCCCTAGCACAGGTCTTGCAGCTTCTCTGACCCCACAGCAGCATCCTCTTGGACTCTGCTCCCCTCCCAAATCGGCTCGTCCCTCACTGCTGGAGCTCTGGGCTCTGCTCTGGCACTTTCTCCAGACCCATTCATTGTCTTTCTTCTAAACTGCTCTCAGCCCTGGGTTGCATTTGGGAGCTGCCTCTCCACGACTGGATCATGTTTTCCCATTATTCATTAGTGACATTTCCACGCGTGACCTGCAGGTAGAACCCCCCTACGCAGAGTCTGTCCCTTTGCCTCCCAAGAGGAAATTTCCCCCAAACCTGAGTGAGAAGCAGCAGCCGATGTCCTCCCAGCCAGCCCGTGCTGAAGGGTTTCTGACATGGCCTGGATGTCTTGTCTGATTTATTAGCGAGTGATTTATTAGTCATGCAGCCACCTTGCATGATTTATTTATTTTTATTTTTTTTTTTTGCTGCTCTGAGCTATAATTTCCAAAGCTAAGGAGGAGTAATCCAGCAGAGATTTAACTTCAGGTGCTGCCTGGTTGAACCTGCTGGAAGCTGGTTGAGGAGCACCCCGTGTTTTCAAGGGGGTGCCTGGCTCGGGTAGGCAGAGCCACAGGTACTAAAAATAGGATGTGATTTTTCCATGGCGATGCAAGACGCAAAGAACTGCTCAGCAGGTGCAGGTGGCATTTTTTGAAAGCGGATTTTAGAAGCTGGATTCTTTGCCCTGGTTTGTACTGGGACGGCTTTACTGCTCTGTGCCTCAGTGTCCCACTGACTGGTGGGGTTTGTGTTTCCCTCCACTGGCTGTCACTGGTGCACAGGGGTGGTTTGGGGCAGGGACGTGGCATCCTGCACATTTGGCCTCTCGGCTGTAGGGTCCATCTCCACCTGTGCCATCGCTGTTACCATGAGCTCAGGGTCTGCGTGGCCTCTTTGCTCCTGCATTTCCCAAGCACGAGCTGAGCTGCACAGATGTGGTGTTACCCAACACGTACAACAGCTAAAACACATCTCTTCTCATTTCAGAATGTAACACAAACAGTAGAAGAAGAAAAACCCGAGCCTCCGACTGTCCAGGAGATCAAGCAGAAAATTGAAAAATACAATGCAAAAGTTACAAACTGCCTGTTGATGAAGCTGGTACGTACTGGGCAATATTTTCCTAATACATGGAAGGGCTCAGCCTGGTTTCCCTGGGCTCTGAGCTGAGCCAGGCTCTCAGAAAGCATCTCCAAGGCAAGAGGGCTTGTGGCTGCTGAGATTTCTTTGTCTGCGTTGCCCAATCTGCTTTTTCTCTTGGATTTCCTTAGCCTTAGTCGCTGACACTTGAGATAACCCTCCCCTGCCTCCTTCCCCTCTCAAACTGGGAGCACTGGCACGGTAATCTCCGGCCAGCCATGTGCTGTGAATGAGTTGCCACAAATAGATGAGCCCACGTTGTTCCTCCGGGGATGAGTCAGGCGGAGGGCGGGCTGCGAGGCTGCAGTTCAGCAGCTGGTGCAGAGGGGATTTAGAAACGCAAAGTGGATTCAGAAAGACAAAGTGTATTTAGAAACGCAAAGTGGATTTGGAAACACAAAGCCTTTCTAGAAAGAGAGGCTTTTCTCCTCTGCCCCTGCCAGGCTTGTTTGAGCAGAGGGCTGAGAACCACAGTGGATGTTGTGTATGTTGGAGCTTTGATTGCAAACTTGGCTTGTCACCACCCGTAAGTAAAGCTTTGATGAGACGTGGTGAGAAGACAAGGAAATAACTCCTTTACAAACTGGAATATCACAAAGGTACAAACTTCACGGGATCTTACAGAGAGCAGGGGAAAAGCTTCTTAAAGGGTGAAATAATTGAACTGTAGATCTTCCAAGAAGAGCAGCCGCCTGACTGCCTGGTGCTTGCTGACAGCTGAAAACAAACCTGAAGTTTATTTAAAAGAGTAGATCTTACAATAATTTCCTTTGTGAAGGCTGCACAGTGATTTCTGCTGGAATTTCTTCCCGGTTGATTTTTATCACCCCTTGACTTCAAGGAGTCATTTGGGACCCAAATGTTTACTCTTGAGTTATTGTGTCTGAAGCTTAGGAAAACATAATCTTGAGACCCGCTGCAGTGCTGGGACTCGGCTGGGCCCAGCTGCTGGTGGTGGCCCTTGGGTGGGACCAGAGACCAGTGCTCCCAGCTCCTGAGCGGGATCCCTCGGCTTGTTCCCAGTGGCACCCATGGATGGACCATACGGAGCCAGGCTCTTCTCTTGACTTCTGCATTTTTGTAGAGGTGAGGGTAGGGCGAGGGACCCATCATGAGAAGGGCTGATCTTGAATGATTTATTATGACGTGGCGCTATGAGAATCCCATAAGCAGGGAATAAAACGTGAGGAATAGAGTTGGGAGATCTTGTGTAGAGACCGTCCCCGAGGCTTCAAATCCTCACGTAAGTGCAACTACAAATTACATGTAATGGTTTCCATAAGTGACTTGTAGCAGTGTTGGGTTTCAATAAGAGGAGATCGCACAGACGCGAGGAAGGGATGAGTCATTACCCAGTGGAAGGAACAGGAGAAAATCAGTACTGACTAACCCGAAATGACTGGTTACTTTTTATGTGATTAATAAGAAACCCTCAGACTCCTCGCGGTACCGCGGGGTGGAAACTCCTGCAGCCACCCCGCAGGCTGCAGTGCCAGTGACCAGAAAGCCCCTCGTACTGGGGGCCAGGACTGGAAAAGGCTCCCTGGAGCCTGACCCCCCCTCTCCTTTGCTTTAGAACGACGATGGGACGTACACGGGTTTCATTAAAGTGCATTTGAAACTGCGCCGGCCCGTGACGGTGCCAGCGGGGATCCGGCCGCAGTCCATCTACGATGCCCTCAAGGAGGTGAACCTGGCCGACATGACGGACAAGAGAACCTCCTTCTACCTGCCGCTGGATGCCATCAAGCAGCTCCACATCAGCAGCACAACCACAGTAAGCGAGGTGATCCAGGGGCTCCTCAAGAAGTTCATGGTGGTGGATAACCCGCAGAAGTTTGCACTTTTCAAGGAGATGCGGAAGGATGGGCAAGGTGAGTTCATGCCCTGGGACCCACCAGCTTTCCTGCAGCTGATCAGTTTTACCGTTTTGTGTTGGAGAAACATACCCCAAGGGTTCTTCTAGGAGTCAGTGGTGTGTCAGGCAGGCAGTGCCTAAAAGTCACAGAATTAGAGAATGGTTTGGGTTAGAAGGGACCTTAAAGCCCACCCAGTGCCACCCCCTGCCCTGGGCAGGGACACCTCCCACCAGACCAGGTTGCTCCAAGCCCCCTCCAACCTGGCCTTGAACCCCTCCAGGGATGGGGCAGCCACAGCTTCTCTGGGCAACCTGGGCCAGGCTCTCACCACCCTCACACCAAACAAGTTCTTCCTAATCTCTCATCTCCATCTCCCCTCTTTCAGTTTAAAACTGGATATAAATGAATAAATGGCCTGACCTCCCCAGGAGGTGATGCTGCTTAAGCTAATGGGGAATTACTGCTTTTCAAAAGGGGGCTGAAGCCACCTAAGACCTAACAGAGATCGTTATGGATGTGTGTTAGAGACTCAGCTGCTTCCGCTGTGATCCTGAGCAGCACAAACTGCTTTTATGTGCTCCATTTGAGCTCCTGAGCTTTCCTCCACCCTGGCAGCCACGGGCTGACTGTGGACCTCTGCTGTCCCTTGCAGTGCTCTTCCAGAAGCTCCCTCTCACCGAGTACCCCCTGTACCTCCGGCTGCTGGCGGGCCCCGACACCGACGTGCTCAGCTTCGTGCTGAAGGAAAACGAAACGGGGGAAGTTGAGGTACGTCGGTGACTCTTTCCCTTGGTTTTCACATGAATGTTACCAGTGTCGTCGAGCATTGTGACACCAGTTTTTCTCCAGTTGAATTATCAACTGAATGGACTGCTTGTACCTTACTTAAAAACAAACAAACAAAAACCCAACAAAACCCCCTAAACTCTGTGTAATTTATTGCTCTTGAATTATGTTGATTTAAAAAAAAAACTTGAGCTGTGAAAATGCTGAGGCCAGTTTTGATGGCCAACCCATAATCTGTTTACAGAACCAAGCAACGCCACCCCAGAGTTAATCCTCCATAATTAGCGGTGACTCTTTCCCTTGGTTTTCACATGAATGTTACCAGTGTCGTCGAGCATTGTGACACCAGTTTTTCTCCAGTCGAAACGGGGGAAGTTGAGGTACGTCGGTGACTCTTTCCCTTGGTTTTCACATGAACGTTACCACTGTCGAGCATTGTGACACCAGTTTTTTCTCCAGATGAATTATCAACTGAATGGACTGCTTGTACCTTACTTAAAAACAAACAAAAAACTGACAAAAAATCCTAAACTCTGTGAATTTATTGCTCCTAAATTATGTTGATTTAAAAAAAAAAAACTTGAGCTGTGAAAATGCTGAGGCCAGTTTTGATGGCCAACCCATAATCTGTTTACAGAACCAAGCAATGCCACCCCAGAGTTAATCCTCCATAATTAGATTAGCTAAACGCTGTTATAAGCAGTCCCCTAATTTAAGCAGAAGCCGGGGACACTCAGGTAATAAATTTGCAGCCAAGTTTCTGGCTGCAATCACGCTCCCCACCATGACGAAGGCCAACGCTGGGATCTGCCAGGTCCTGTGGGATTCTGACTGCTTGTACCTTACTTAAAAACAAACAAAAAACTGACAAAAAATCCTAAACTCTGTGAATTTATTGCTCCTAAATTATGTTGATTTAAAAAAAAAAAACTTGAGCTGTGAAAATGCTGAGGCCAGTTTTGATGGCCAACCCATAATCTGTTTACAGAACCAAGCAATGCCACCCCAGAGTTAATCCTCCATAATTAGATTAGCTAAACGCTGTTATAAGCAGTCCCATAATTTAAGCAGAAGCCGGGGACACTCGGGTAATAAATTTGCAGCCAAGTTTTTAGCTGCAATCATGTTCCCCACCATGACAAAGGCCAATGCTGGGAGCTGCCATGTCTCGTGGGATTCTTCCCCCCGTGGGGTGGCTGGGCTGGGCTGTGTCACCCAAGGAGTGGGGCTGTGGTGGTGGGGACACCGTCTCCCCACAGTGCTGCTGAGCAGGCACAGGGCAGCAGTCATTAAGTGACAGCAGTTGTCACCCTTGGCCCTGCGGTGGAGGTGACAGCCGGAGCAGCCAGGCTGCTGCCACCCCGTGCCAAGAGCTTTGCTGAAGCTCCAACAGTTTTGGTAACTTTGCAGTAAAATAAAGAGCGGTGGAGGTGACAGCCGGAGCAGCCAGGCTGCTGCCACCCCGTGCCAAGAGCTTTGCTGAAGCTCCAAACAGTTTTGGTAACTTTGCAATAAAATAAAGAGAACTGGCTCCTGCTGGGACCTCCCCCCCACCCCGGCTTCATAAAGGGAAGTGGGAGCGAATGCTGCGTCAATTATTTCTGTATATATTTCCATTCCCTAGGGAGCTCTGCCATCTCTTGCAGCAGGAGCTTTAATTCACCTGAGTAAAGATGATTTCTATTAAATCTATGGTCTCAGGGGCTCAGGGCTGGGATGGTCCTTTATGCTGTAGCCCATTATCCCAGCTCTCACAACGTGAGGCTGTGAGATTAAGCTGCCTGGAGATCAGATACATGTCTAAACGTCTTTTATTGTTCCTCTTTACAGATTCAGGGGGAATGAAAAACAACACAAAAGCAACAAGGTGAACTGTTTGTGCTTACTTTCCTCTGTTTCTGCTGTTTCTGCAGTGGGACGCGTTCTCCATCCCAGAGCTACAGAACTTCTTGATGATACTGGACAAAGAGGAGAAGGACAAAATCCAGCAGGTGCAGAGGAAATACGAGAAGTTTAAACAGAGACTGCAACAGACCCTGAAAGAAGCCAGAGGCAAGCCGGGATAGCCCCTCGGGAGGCACCGGGCACCAGACTAAGCTAGATACTGTTTTTAAAATGAAAAGACACTTCTCAGGACACCTTATAGTAGTCACTTTCCCTTTTCATCCTTCCATTAAGGACTGGCTCCCAGCACCCATAAAACGAACATAGAGCATTTCCTTCTTCTAAAACCTCTTATTCCAGGACCGGAGCCAGTCAAAGAACAGGGAAACCTGTTTGTTGACGGCCACAGATTTAAAACCAAACGCAGCTGCTGCTTTGCTTTTCAGCTCCACCATCCGATGGAGGAGCCCTGTGGAAAATGCCGAGTGTTAAACCCCAACAGGAGCATCATCATCTGTTGTGAGCAGGGTAACACTTGCCGTTCACGCTCCCCCCACGTGGCCGAGTCCTCGTTTTGTTAATTAGGGCGCAGGAAGCGGCAGGTTCAGTGGAGGAGGTGGTTGCACCAAACCGTGGGGGTGTTGCAGCCGTAGCCGATGTCGGACGGACTCGTTCAGGGCTGAGAGAGCCAGGGAAGGGTCAAGTCGTGACACCCCGGCAGCTGCAACACCCAAACAGTCTGTCAGTAAGTGTTATTGAAACTTGGTAATATTAATTTCAGGAAAAGTCATCCATTTTGATTCTAGGTAACCTGCAGTTTTGAGGACAGATGTGAATTAAAGCAACTACCCCTGGTGCTCAGCTAAGATAGCCGGTGTTTTACCAGTTTTGTACTCAGTAGGAATTGGGACCTATGTTTAAATGCGTAAAGATGGTGGTTGGGGCATGGGCCAATGGTTCGATACCGAACGTTTAGCAATACATATCCAACAGACTGAGCCAGGAAAGCTCAAAACCCCCTTTCACAAATCAAACCCACTCTGAGCTACAAACAAGTCTGGCCCCAAGGGAGGGGAGCTGAGACTGGGGCCAGGGTGTGGATGTGGCACCAGGAGCACAGGGAGCCTTAGCGCTGGGAGAGAAGGGGACCCAAGGCTCAGGTGTCCCCCTCACGCTGTGCCTCCTCTCACTAACTCTCCTCGTGCTGCTCCCCCACCATCCTGTCCCTGCCATGCCACCTTCTCTGTCACTCTGTACATGGCGTCTCCTCCTCCCCTCTCGCCCTCGGTGCTCTGCCTGCGTGGCCGGGGAGGTTTCGCTCCCTACGTGGGGCTGGGAAGTCTCTCTCCCCCTCTCTCAGGGCTCCCGCTGTTCCCGATGCACACACTGCGCATCCTTGATAAAAATCCTTGAGCTGGAGCGTCGGTTCCTGCCATAACTCCAAGCAGCCGCCATGATCCCCCTGGGGCCATGTTTACTCCGTGCTTGGTCCCGAGCACAGCCAGGTCCAGTCTTCCTGCTGTTTACACCGCAACAAAGAGTAAAGATAGCATGGAATATTCACAATATTCGGATTCAGACGGAGCACGTGGAAGGGTTTCACAGTGACCCGATGAAGGAGTGTCCCTCAGCTCGCTGTAGGCCGCTGGGCCCCCACCAGTGTGGGGCGAGAGGGGAGGCAACAGGTTATGGGGTCACAGTTACCATAGAGACGATGTGGGAGAGTCCAAAATTTACCTCAGTGCCTTTTTTTTTTCCCCCTTAAGTGTGAAAACTTTGCATTTGGGGCTAAAGGTGGAAATTGGGAAGGGGCTTTTGCCACAAGGCCTTCTCAGTCCTGTCCCCACAAGTACCCAAAGCTCTGTTGCAATGAGGCGGCTTTCATCTGTGGGGGGACAAGGAGCTGTTTTGTTTCCTCCTTGAAGGTGACTGCTTGGGATTTTTATTTTTTTCCAGATTTATACTTGAGTATGTTTGTTTATAAACCTTAAGAGAGCAACTGCATCACTTAAAGCCCCTCGGTTTGTAGAAATGCCCCTTTCTGCAGGCTGTCACAGCTCCTGTCTCAGTGGTGGAGAAGGCTTTGGTGGAAGGGCCTCCAGCCGCCTTGTACCCCACACCCAGAGGACCTTTAACGTGGCACCAGCCCAAATAGAGCAGCAATTTCCACGCTCTGGGGCTGTTTGTCCATTTACAAGAATACTTATTACTTCACCATGCACTTGTGAAGTAATTTAAGTAACGTTTATCTCGTGCTTGGAGTCTTGGAAGCACTGTATAAATACTTCTGTTCAGTCAAGGGGAAGAACACTGTAAAAACTGCTGTTGGTTCAGAGAAGAGCCAGACGCTTGGTTTTTAAATCCCTTATCCTGCCAGCTAAAAGTTGTAAAGATTTCTTTTCTGCTGTTGTTGTTGTTTTCTACTAGAGTTCTGGTGACCATCACCCTCTCCTCCCCTGGAACCCAGCATGTCTTTGACATTTGGTAGAAGGCATGGCTTTTATGCAATTCCCGTGAATGCTGCTGAAAAACCTCCTGCGAAAAGGGAGGGCTTTCTTTTTTGGTTTTTCAAGAGTGGGGGCGGTGGAAGACTTTGGTAGATCTTGAAACTCAAATTCTCAATGGTTGGTTGAGCTGTGTCGAGGATAGAAAGATCAGCCCCTTCCTTAAGCGCAAAATACTGTTGGCAGTGCCTTTGGTTCAAATATTGTCTTGCCTAGGTTGTGTGAATTTTATTTTTCATGTCTATTGTAAAACATGTAAAATAATGTGTATAGAATGGAATAGTAAAGCTTCTATGGCAAAGTGAAATGCATTTTTGCAATGCTGTAATTTATTTTTATTACTCCCTAGTAATTCTATGGCATTTTTAAAAAATGTCTCACTTCCGGCTTTTTTGAAGGTTCTGAAACTACTTGTTCATACGCAGACAGTGTAAAAGACAACGATAATAAAACTGTCGGTAATTAAAGAAATCTCTTTGACTTCTTTTTCTGGCGCCCTCCTCTGGAACTTTCATGTATTTAGTCTAAAGAGAAAATACAGGAATCCCTCCTAGAAGTGAATTTAAATTTCTTAACCCTACTGTAAAGTGTTTAAGTTTCAGCTAAAGAGGTAAAGAACATCTACCCCTGTGAAACCTGAGCAAAGTCTTCCATTAATCTTCTTTTAATATTTTAGCTTGCTTTGACAGAACTGCTAACCATGATAAATTACAGTGAATGTCATACATTATATTCTTTATATACATATATATACATACATTTTAAACCATTTAAATCCAGCTAATAGAGTTCATTTTCAGTGATGAAATGCCTGATATGAATATCTGGAAATGTTGAAAAGGATAAAATACAAAACCAAATGGGTTTTACTTCTGTCATGCACAATCTGTGGCACAACAGGCTGGACTGCACCAGGACAATGTGTTGAAATGTACTTCTCTTACATTTCAGTGGGGGTTCCATCACCCAGCTTTTGCTAAAGGATGCAAAACAATAATATTAAACTAGGCAAAAGCTATTTCTGCCAGGAAACCAGTGCACCATTCATTAGGAATGTCTAGAAAATATATGGAAAAAGGATAATGCTAAAGGGGTTTATTCAGATTTTTATTTTTATGAAAAACGAACAGCTGGAGTAATATTATTATTTGGGTGAATCCTAGACATTGTAAACATCCAGGACTCATTTTTGAATTAACAGGGCCTGTACATTATCCTTGATTTGATGGCAGAACACATCTATAAATAATGAAATCTGAGCAATTCTTACAGTAGATTTTTCTCCTACTTCTTCCGGCCAAGCTTTGGTGCCTTCTCAAGGCCTTGAATGTATTTCCGAGGTAGCTGATATTCTTCTGCAACATAACCAAGAGTTCACTTCAGGTAAATATTCACAGCTCAAGAATGAAAATCTGTGTCTTGCTCTACCAAGTCCCACCCGGTTCCAGAACAGACTTACCCAACAGCATCTTGGCCAGGTGATGGACTTGGTTGCCTTGGATCTGGACCTGAACTCTGTCTTTTGTTCCTGGCACGGGGGTGATGGTGGCACTGGCTTGTACTTTCTGTTGCAGAACATTGGCCACGCACTGTGGGTCTAGACCGTACAGCTCAAGGTTCTTGATAATTGTCACCTGCAGGTTTTAAGGATTACTGCAAACATCACTGGTGTAGGTATCAGCAAGTCATGTCTCCTTCATCCCAGAAAAATGAGCTGGCAAGTCATGTCTCCTTCATCCCAGAAAAATCTCTAAAGCTGCTCTCAGAATCTGGGCTCAAACCAATATGGCTGAAACGCCATAATTTTAGTTCTTTTTTTACCTTCTTATTTGATGATCTCTGTGCTACAGTTATGTCGATGGGCTCAATGTTTCCTTTCCTCACAACAGGCTCTTGTCCAAAGAACGTCACCTGGTGTAAGGGTTGCAGTCGTTCAAGGCACCTGAATGAAATCAATACATCCAATTAGTCCATATACAGCAAAGCTGGTGTTAACGATGCTTTTCAGCCTCTCGCAGGTTTTTGTGACTACATGAAAGCCAAGATTCTATGTGTGAGAAGAATTTGTATCTTAAGAAGATAATATGTGATGAGCTTATGCGAAGATTTGCATCCTAGCTGTTATTTAAAGACAGGGACTAATGAAAAGCTAGAAAGCTAGTCCACTGACTTGCAAAAATTATATCTTAGATTGTTCTGGTATTTTTTTTTTTAAATTTTACCAGAGGAAAACCTTCTTTAATTTTGTCTGTAAGCTATTGTTGAGTTGTATTGTTCACAGATCCGTGAAGCAGCTTGTTTAAAATTCACCACAGACTGCGTTACTGTCCCATGAGCAAACCTGGCTCCAGAAATAAAGGAACCAGCTGGAGGTGCCTCAGAAGTGCTGGTGATTGAGAAGCTCAAGGCAAGTAAGACATTGGGGACATTGAGGCAGAGTTTTTCAGTACATGGAAACAGTGGTCTTGTGCCAGATAATCAGGCCTCCTGGATCCAAAAGGTGGGTTGGGTTGTAAATGCAGAAGTTGTATTGCCATGGCCTAAAAATGGTGTTCTCATCTACCTACTGCAAGGGATGGCTTTATAAATCTGTACGTACAGATAATACACAGAAGCAGGCACTGTTTGTTTAGGATGCTTTCCCTGATAAGAGGCTAGTAGGTAAATAAAAAACCACAACAGTTAATGCCAGATGCTTGTTACATGGTGAAGAATGAGAGATCCTTCAAGTGAAGGTCTCTGGAGATTTTTTTGTTGTGTTATCAGTAGGAAGTTACAACGGAGGCAGCTCCAATAACATGTGGCTTTGAGTTGGGTGCAAGAAATCTGTGTAATACAGAAACACCTCACTGGGAAAACAGTCACCTGCTCAAGAGGTCATCCCATTTCAGGTTTGAGATCTCATCTTGTTCTGATTTATCTAACAGGCAGTCGCACAGAACAGCATTCACCTTTACAAAGCTACAAAAACAAAAACAGGCATTAGAAGCAAAAAAAATACACATATTTCCTCTAACTTCAGCATATCCTGTGGAAGCAGGGAAGGACCGCTTTCACCTCTACTTACTTTTTGTTTGTTTCATCAACCAACTCATTAGTCTTCACGTAGTTGATGATGATGTTTCTCACCTCACTGCTTGAGAGGATGCTGCCTTTTCTCCAGAGAAAGAAACGTTTTTAACTTAAAGTAATAAGTAGTTAGGTGTTGGGTTCTGTCACTAAGACAGAAGACAGCAACTACCCTGACTATATTTGGTAGCAACAGCTCAATTAAATTATCTGGGCGTCCTCCTTTCAGTAAACCACACTGTGGGTGGGCAGAATATGCCTTATCCAATGGCAAATTAAGACAACCAAGTAAAATGTACCAATTTTGACACTTGAGCTATCACCTCCTTAGCTGTGAGAGAAGTGATATACTTGCTGAATGCAGTTGTCACAGCCTCTTACCCTTCTTCCCTTTGTGAAGCAAGAAATAGATTCTTGATGCCCAGCACCTTTCCTGACAGCATCTCAGGGCCCTCCCCATGAGGGCTAACAGAATGGCAGCAGCACGGGTTTGTTAGTCTCTTTCTTTGTGTACCAGTGGTTTTTTTGTACTTTTCTAGTGCTTACTTGTGTCCAGATTCCTGAAAGAGTGGGACCATTTTTGCTGAGACCCCATACAGTGGAATGATTTCAGGAGCATGGTACGCTTGCTCTCTGTCTTCACTCTTGCTCTCTTGGGCAGCGGAGGCTGAAGAAAATCCTTCAGGTACCACAAATGCTCTAATGCTGAAAACAGAATGATTTGGTGTGAGTGGAAGGGATTGAAACTTATCACTTCTATTTCATTGAGACACTAAAAGTTAGCAGAGCCGTGCAGAAAGCTTTCTGGTCTGTTTTATAACATGCCAGTTCCTCCAAATGCATCCCATTGCAGTGGGGGCCTGTGTCTGCAGATTAAAGGACACGATGAAAGAACAGTATTTTGAAGTATTAGCTGCTTTAATAAAATAATAGATTTGGCACTTTTCACTCTGAGTGAAGCCCTGTATGTTGGGGAAAAAGAAAATCTCTCCTGCTGTTCTAAGCATATTTGACTCTTGTAATTAGAGACAACTGCCATAATTCAAAGCATGCAGCCCCATTCCACAGAATCCCTAGAATTACATTTATAAAAAAACAACCCAACTGCACTCTCCACAAATGTACTGAAATGATTCTTTAGTGAACAGTGATAAAAGATCTGGAAGAGAGGGGTAAGAACTGGCTCAGTGCAGGAGCTGGAGTCTCGTTTCATGGAGCAGAGCTGCACTTTCTGTGCTTGAAGGTAAGAGAATTGACAAACTGAGCTGGAGTGTGTCTGTCTCCTGATGATAAGGCCAAGTATAATGAAAGAAAAGTTAATGCAGAAAGTCAAAGTAATCCTGGTTCTTTCCAAAGGCAGAAGAGAAGATATGCTTATATCTACTGAAATATTCTCCTCTCCATTAGTTGCCAAGGAGACGTTATACACCAGGCAGCCTCAGGCCCACTGGGAAATTCCATGAGAGTGCAAATGTGCCGATATGCAGCAGGAACAAGGAGGATGTTCTCAATGTGAGGTAACTATTAATCATTGGAAAGATAACAGAAACACCAATAGAGGAATCTGGTAATAAGTAACTGAAAGTACAGAAGTATTTGTGCAAATCAATATTTGTACGGAAAAACACAGCAAATGTTTTGGGTTTTTTTCATTTTTTTGAGATTATAACTTTGGCTTCTGGTTTTGCAAAGTGCTTGATTTGATCCTTTATGACATTCTACATTCTGAGACTGTAGTTTCATGAGCATTTTTTTAGCAGCAGTGTCACCTTTTTACTGGAGTTACTGTTGAGACAGGTGAGTTCACCTCAAGCTGAGCAATGAGCCCTGCAGAGATGGAATGGGGAGGGGGAGAACTGCTTAAACTGGAAGGGCATAAACCAGTCACTGTTAAATAGATGGAAAGCTGCCTGATGGGTTTCAAACCTTCTTGCCTCTCTTCCCCCAGCAACCACCAAGAAACCCATGCAAACTATCAAGACACTGTCAGAGAAATGTGCTTTTCAGTGACTGCCAACAGGCTCAATGCTGTAACTCTTTTATTAGCATCCACACTGGAAGCCAGAAATTTGTCACTAACACTGCAAAAATATTGCAATTGATTGGGGTATAAAACCCCTCCACAGCATATTAAGATTAGAAAATGAGGGCTGCTACAGCTATTCAGAACAGGAACTCAAGCAGAGTATAGGTAATAGAGCTGGAAGTAGCTGATTCCACTTTCTTTCAGAGACTGCCAACTCTAGCAAAGACTACAATATTCCACGTACTCTGGATGTTTCCAGTCCACTTCCACGATGCTCTCCACACCTTTGCTCAGCTCCTTCACATGTAAGATCTGCTGCTGCTGCATACATTGCAGGAACTTCGAGAACTGAAGGAAGCAACAATCAGAAATGTGG